GTAACCGCTGAGAGTATGAATCCATCTAACTGTGTATTTACACAAAGAGATTAAATTTAGATCACAGATGATGTAAAATCCACTAAAAAGTCTCATTTTCTAAAGTAAGCATACTTACGATAAAGAGTTGGATTCAGAATGCTTGCACACTGATCGCCAGCATCATTGGTATGATAGCACAGTAGAGATAATTCCCATTCAGTCAGTCTGTCAACTGTCCAGAACATCGTGGATCCATTTTGTGAAACATTTCCCACAGGGTGCTCCAAACCTGAAGCATCTCCACTGCAGTCCTTCTGACATACAACACATGTAACATTGGCTGGGTCACCGTACTTCACTACCAGTGCAGATGGAGTGAACACAGGATTCTCTGTGCAGCTAGAATCTGTAAGAAACACAGTACATGTTTAAGAAAATCAATAAAACAGTAGTTACAACAACACTTGATACTAAATCTTATGGTTATATAGTTTACATTTCCTTCTAGATAATTCTCACAGTATTTGGATACTGTCGGGTGATTTGGCAGTAAAAGTTTAAACAAATCCACAAATAAAATGAACATTTGTTTTTTATGGATGTCTGTCACATTTGGACTAGATCCCACAAAGTTTTATATTCTTTAAATACAAAATATCCACAAATAATAATCCTTCACCACACAACTGTACACGATGGTCTTGTTATATATGTGTGTTTGTTTTTCGCTTGAGTTATTAAAATTTTTAAGATTGACTGACTGATCAAATTCAATGATCACATTACAAACTGATCAAGCACTAATCTAAGAGCCACAGTTAGAGTAATTAATCTATCACTTTACAACATCTAAAATAAAAAGTGAGAACCATTATATTAATGGGGTATTACAGTATGCTTCCACCTGTAACGATGGCTCTAAGTTTCTAAGACATTCAGCAGCGTGAGCTGTAAATTAGTTGTACCATGCACATCGTGAACACAGCCTCTTGGAAAACCCTTCACTTACCTTGACTGGACACTTGGTGGGTGCACAGAAAAGTAACTGAGGAGGCGACCAGAAAAATAAAATAGGAAAACATTATTCCCAGATTTTTAGAAATCAAATGTTGTCGAGAAGATGATCAAACATTTAGTCCGAAGGTGTTCGCAGAGGGGAATGTGCTCTACGAGCTCCTCGTTTTGGTTTTCTATTGTAAGAGAACAATGTTGGCAGTGTAGCCTGTTTTCACAGCACACATCCGCTGGTTTTTTCCTTTCCTGTTTTACAGCCATCAAGTTATCAACGTTGGCAAATTGTGAAAACGAAAGTGTAGCATTGTCACCATTATACATACTGCAATCTTTTTATATACTGACTTTAAAGTAGTAATATTCTCATAATAATTAAAAAATATATATAAATCAATCAGTATGACTAAGGAGCTTGGAAAGAAAAGCGTCTGGACTTCTTTAAGTTGCTTGAAGACGTTTCACCTCTGATCTGAGAAGCTTCTTCAGGTCTAGGGTCAAATGTTGGAGAGACCCAGATTTAACCCCTGTGGGAGTGTCCCCCCGAGAGGGACAATGGACCCCCTAATGATCCTCTACCTAATCACATGAGCCAAGGTGTGAAAATGGGTGTGGGTCACAACCAGCCAGGGTTTCGGGTGAGCTCTTTGTGAAACCTGGCCCCACCCTATCATGTGATTTCCTGAGGTCAGATGGCCCAGGATGTGAGTGGGCGTTAAGGCGTCTGGGAAGGGATCTCAAAACTGGATTATAGATGGCAGACAGTGTCGTAAACCCCCGCCTCTGTTCAAAGATGGTCGCTCACAGTGGACATAAATGGCTTCTTTTACTCCTCTTTCAAACCATCTGTCCTCTCTGTCCAAAAGGTGAACATTGGCATCCTCGAAAGAGTGACCTTTGACCTTTAGATGCAGATGGACTGCCGAGTCTTGTCCCGTGGAGGTGGCTCTTCTATGTTAGTACATACTGATTCTATGTCAATCAGTATGACCTTAACACACCATGCACTGTTTTTTTTATCAGTCTTGAGGTTTAAACATTTAGTGGATGCTTCCAAACGTTTGCTTTATATCCAGTTTGTACTTATTGTGCAGTTACTGTTTTGTATTTTTTGCTTGTTGCTTTTAATGCCATTACAGTATACCATGCATTAGCTTATAGAGTACTCTGTATATGCATCGTAACTTTTCTAAACTGTAATATGGGAGAAACATCAGTTGTGCAATTGAGAGCTTTAGTCGTGAGCCAGCATTAGACAGTGGCTCTGATTAAAGTGAAGATTATCCATTTTAACATGTTCTGAGTGTCCCATTTCAGTCCTGTATTGTAGGCTATGGAGAACTCAAGGAATTCACACACACCTGCACAGTGCACTCAAACATATTTATCTGTACATAATATCTGTAGGCTGATCGGAGGTCCACACTTACAGTCAACAATGTTGAAGGTTTGGTACTTTGGCTGAAGGAAAAGAGGAAGTTTTGTGCTCATAAGTCACATTGAAATGAATGTGACTGTGGTACATTCCTTTCCTCTTTGTTTCCCCGGTGATCGTTATCACGGTTTCCTGAGACTCCTCCCATTCTGTATCAGTCTTGTATTTATTCACCCAATAACAACGGTATTATTCCTGCACTTTCTGTTGTAACCCCAGTTCTCTATATGACTGTACCTATCTCAAGTGTATCAACAGATGACGGCAGAACATCATAACTAGACTTAAACTGTGAGTCTTTAAAAAAACAAACAAAAACAGAGCAGTCCTGCCTAGTCCGACTTTCAGCACCTTTACAACCATCTAGGAAGTGAAAGCACAGCGTATGCCAGTAATTACAAAACCACCTGAACAAATACAATTATAGCACTGGTCACAGACAGGCTGGTCTGAGCATTTCACATTTTCTCACACTAGCATCTCTAGGGTTTACAAACAAGTCTCAAAAAGAGAAAATATAGAGCAAGTTCTGTGCAAAATGTCCTGTTGATGCCAAATGACAATAAATGTAATAAAGGTTAGGCGAGCTTCCACTGCCAATCAAAGATACAGATGCTTTTCATTAAGTACTTAGAGCTCTGGTTTTCATATTGCACTCTCACCTGGCTTTTATATATATTGTGATTGTCTTAAAATATCCTAATGACAGCTTATTGCTAAAACATCTCCACCTTCTTATCCTGTAATAAAACAGTTATTAAAGTGTTTTTCATTAGAGTGTGCTGGTGTTTTCGCCCTTTTCCAGATATCTGCCCGTTCTGTAAACACTACTCGCATTACTGGTCTTCTGCAGCTAGAAACAACCTCGCTCCACTACACCAATCTCTTGATACACTTTGAAGGTACCCAATCAGGCTATAGAGAGAACATGAGTGAACGAGTGGGTCCAACAACAGGAGCCATGAAAACCTGACAAAAAGATGACTCCTCAGCAAACAGATATCAGACATACCATTTTTTTGCATGAAAGACTTCCCCCAGAGTCATTCACGCAACACCAAAGAATCTAAGTAATTGATAAACAATTAAATGACAGAAAATCTCTTGTTTTCCATTGTACTATAAAAAATATGGGAAATATGGGACAGTGTGGGCAGTGAGCGCGAACATTTTCTATGATTTCACTCCTTTATCATGTAGAAAAAACTTGTAATGTAAAGAATCTAAATTTATTACTAAATAAAGTAAAAAATAGAGTACACCGAGTGCGTTTCTCTCATAAGACTTTACAAAGCTGATTTTAACCTTTAAGACCTGCATACTGTATACATAAGTGTAAACACAGCTTTTGCATGTTTCAGAGAAAATGACAAAAACGTGATTAACTAATAAATACAAGTTTTAAGAAGACTTATGGATTTTTATTAAGAATTATAAGTTAGAGTACAGAAAAGCTGAACACAAAAAAAAAAACTTTCCCAAAAGAAATACAAACAACCTGATCAAATTTTTTAAATATCCTCACTTAGCTCTCAAAGGCTTGATCATTGTGTCAATATTTTCTCAGTCCTTGGAGATCTAAAGGAAGTTTAGCAAACACTTTTCAGGGTATACAACAGTTCCAGGTTCGCTCGTTGGGCAACACTCGACAGAGTCGCAGGCAGCAGCTGATGGTGGGCTCATACATCACTATGTCTGGTTCTCTCTCGCTTTTTCTTTGCTGTGCAGGACGAGTGAACAGTGAGGGTTTAGGACTTTTAGCCAGAGTTTTCTTCGTCACACAGCCCAGTTCGATAAGTGCCTGTGGAAGAGACAAAAAGAGTAAAAACACAACCATAAAAAGGGTCAATTTTTGTCTTTGATGCATTTTGGCTCACGGGTATTCTTAACAAAGTTGCGGAACTTGTCATCTCAAACTTTGAACATGTTTAATATGGGCACATTATCTATAGGACAAAAAATAAGGAAAGACAGCTCTTTTATAGCAATGCTAAAACTGTGACAAGCTAAAGAGTGCTAATGTGTAAAAACTAGTTACCCTGGGATGTACCACGTTTTAAGAAGTTCTTCCTTTGCCCTCATCAAACTTGTCGTAACTTTTATATTTGTCATTTTTCATGTTGTGTATACTGTCCCCCAAAAGTTGGGATGCTGCAATTTACAAATCTCATAAACTACTTCCAGCTAATTAGGTTAATGGGCAACAAGTCAGTAACATGACTGGATAAAAGAAGAGTATCATAGAGACGCTCAGAGTTTCTCAGAAGTAAGGACAGGAAGAGGTTCACAATCTGCAAAAATAACGGTGTCTACAAATTGTGGAACAATTGAGAATGTTCCTTAATGCCAGATTGTGAAGACGTGCATAATGTCATCAATCTCTGCACAAAGGGTAAAGCTGAAAATCAGTACTGGTTTTCGTGTCATCCACAAATGCCTGTTAAAGCTGCATCACGCAAAGACGAAGTCACGTATGAATATGACCCACAAATCACAGCTTCACAACTAACTTAAAATGGGCTGAGAAAAAAAAACGTTCTGTGATCAGATGATCACAATTTGAAATTTCTTTTTGGGAAATATGGACGCCGCAAACTCTGGACCAAAGAGGTTAGTGACCACCTCAGCAGCTTGTGCATCTGAAAAGGCAACATGAATGCTGAAAGGTATAAACAGTTTTTAGAGCATATTTTGCATATTTCAGTAAGACACTACACTGCAGACCAGTATGGCTTCATAGCAGAAGAGTCCAAGTGCTGAACTGTCCTGCCTACAACCCAGCTTTCTCAACAACTGAAAACATTTAGAGCATGGAACCAAAAATGCAATAAAAAAAGCCAGGACTGCTGAGCGGCTACAATCCTCCATCGGACAAGAATGGGAAAAACATCCTCTCCCAAAAGTCCAGCAGTCGGTCTCCTCAGACGCTAAACGGCAGCAAACAACTTTTCTGAGACTTGATCTATTTCACAACTTTAAACATTTGATACCTTTTATTGTGTGAATAAAATCTGGGTTTATGAGATTTGCAAATCATTGCTTCCTATTTTTAAAATCACGTTTTACACAGCAATCGTGTTGTGTCTGCTATTCAAAGATACAGGCATATTTTTAACATTTAAGCATGGATTTAGTGCCGCTATAAGGCTGACTGGTTCATTTTCACTACTCTCATCAGTGCACTTGCTCAGCCCAGCAACAAACTGTTACTATAGAAAGCATTTACCTGCTAAAGGAGCTGATAGAGGTCAGAAGGGAGACTGAATATTGGACGTGTATGACCCAAGTGCTCAAATAATGGAAAGTCTATTTTATCTTTAGATCCTTTAGATTTAGATTTCTAGTGTTTGTGTGTATGAAATGTTGATACACTTAAACGAAAAAATAAAAAACTGATAGATGAAGTAACAACTACTAGACTGGAATACCTGCACAAGATCCTGAACTGCCACTGGCTGCAGCAAATCTTTGTAATGCTCTACCAGCGCCTGGTGTGTCAGGCCGGGCTGAGACATGATGTGGTAGAGAACAGCTTCCAGCATGCCCTTACACACCTGCCGGTTCACCTTACCATCAACCAAGCGCCAGGGCCGGCTGATGAAGCTGGTTTCACTGGATGCAAAAAGGAGAGAGATGAAACTTGGAATATTGATGAAGGGAAAAACGAAAACCTTGGTATGATTAAATTTGGTACTCACGCATCAGTATCGGGGCCTGTGGAGGAAGAGCACGCCTCATCGTTGTTCTCATCGTCTTTCCTTCCTCTTCTCAACCTCTGCTC